GGCCGCGCTCGCGCCGCCGTCTGCGCGGGGCCTCGGCAGCCGCCTCCGCCCTTTCCCCTCAGGCGGGTGGCGGCGGCTGCCGAGGCCTCGTCGCCATCTCCTCAGGGCCGGCGGTCGCTCGCGGGTATCTCTGCCCGCCCTGACCGCGAGCTTTTGACACCCTCACGCTCCACCGCTGGAAAAAAAAGTCAGGGGCTGCTGGGCAGGGCTCCTCGGAGGCCTGATGGCTGCCTGCCAGCTCCTGAGACCTGCTTCCCTCAGAGAGCCGCCCAGGCCGCTCGGGTGGGCCGAGTTGCGGTGAATACACCTGCATTCGCAGCGCCTTTGGCCCAGCCTCTTCCCTGAGTGACTTAATTTTCTCTGCCTTGTTCCCACCCGGGAGCCCTGACGCTGCCCTCGGTTGCTGGATGGTGAAGAGTCAGGTTGGCCGTTGCTGGAGCCCATCTGTTTTCTCCACCACCTGCTCCCCTGGTGCCTTGTGCTCTGCTGGGCTGCCTCTGCTGTTTTGGGCAGGCAGATGGTGCAGCAGGGCTGCTGACTTGGCTGGGTGAACCTCAGAGCATATCCCGGCCAGTCTTGAGACTCCACTTGTCTTTTGCTTTAAATAAAATCGGGTGCGACTGTCATCTTCCTTAGTTATTCAGTTTGCAGTAACTTTTTATCATCGAAGGCGCTGACATTGCATGTTTATTAAACTGAAATATTTTCTCCAGAGTAATAACACTTGACACTTATTACTTTGCGTATGTCATTGTATCAGCTTGAATTTATCAGCCTAGCACCGAGTATTTTCTCTCTTTCTATGGCATAAATACAATATGCAAGTTTAAATGCTCCTGTGCTAATGTCTGGGTCTGTGGTGTTGCAGAGGAACGCGGGCAGTAGCTCCGATGGAACAGAAGACTCTGATTTTTCTACTGATCCTGAGCATACAGACAGCTCTGAAAGTGATGGCACGTCAAGACGATCTGCCCGTGTGACCCGTTCCTCAGCCAGACTCAGTCAAAGCTCTCAAGGTAAATACTTTATTTTCTTTAACAAGGAAAAGAAAAGCAGCAGCCTCTTAAGCGACAAGAGGCTCAATGTACTCCATATTCCTGGCCTTTAGAACTTAAATGTGTGGTGTTTATACCTAAATTGGCTAAGTTTTTCATTGGCTATTAATGTACCACAGCAAAAAGCAGTCTTTGCAAGTGCATATTGCACAAATGAGGTAATATAATCTAAAGATTACACTGGTGGTGGTAGTGAAACCTTGAGTATCCCCTGTTCAAAAAGCTTGTTAAAGGAAGTAAAAATCAAACACTGATACCAGCTTTGTTTGATTTTTCTGACAGCTCTAAAAATTTGCTTTCCATCTAGTCAGTCATATTGGCACTGGAGCCAAGTTAGAGAGATGGTGTTCAGGGGTGAAAGCTGTTTTTGTTTGCTTGGTTTGTTTGTTTGGGGTTTTCTGTACTGCAAAGGAAAGATGTATTTTCATGACTTGCTGACGCTGACCCTACTCTGCAATAAATGTAGTCAGCATATTGCCAGTTATTTTGTTTGCTTCTAATTTGGCATCCAGATTGTAAGAGGAAACATTGAATGTGTCCACCTCCTCGTTTTGAGTGTTAGTGTAGTCATTTCTTGGCTGTTAGTTAATAAGCTGCCATCTGGCATCAAGGGGAGGAAATGACAGCAGATAACAACTTCTTTCCATTGCTTCATGTATACGCTTGGATAAAGAATCTGTTTTGTGACAAATTTTACTGCAGGTAGGAAATATATGTGCATGATCATCTGGTAATTAGGTCTTAAAAATAAGAGGAAAGGTGGTTTGGATGTGTATGGGATGCCTGGGATGTTCCTGGCATTCTTTTCATGCAAAATAATTGCTTTATGAGCAGTACAGGATCACAAAACCACGCACAGGGTCCCAAATACAGCTCCACACCAGAAGCAATCTTGCTGTTCCCAAGGACTATCTAAACAATCATAGTTCTTATCTAAACTAGCAGTTCTTTAGCTTTCCAAATGGGAACTGGTTTGTAATTACTAGTTCATTAAGTAATTAAGTCCAGAGAAAGCTGATCTAATTCCTGATTCCTCAGTGTTGGTAAAAGTGTCTAAAGATTTAAACTGGGAAGAGCAGCATATCTTTGTGATGATGTGCAGCAGCGAGCAGTAGGACAGAACCCTGTGTCAATACCCAGCTACCAGATGTTGCTATTATTGACTTCAGGGCACGTGCGAGGCCAGTCTCTGACTGACAGTGGTTACTGTGGGTGTAATTATGGTGTTTCTGTGGAATTAGATTCCAGCCCAGTTCGTAATCCGCCGTCGTTTGGATCAGAAGAGCCCGTCTATTCTACGAGGAGGGTAACCCGCAGCCAGCAGCAGCCAACTCCTGTGACCCCAAAGAAATACCCGCTCCGGCAGACTCGCTCATCTGGCTCAGAGACTGAGCAAGTGGTTGACTTTTCTGACAGAGGTACGTAGGGTGCAGTGAGGCCTTGAAAATTTGCAGAATGCTGTTGGAAAGAGTGTGTGACTCCATTCTCTGAGGGCACAGTATAATATCCTGAGGATAGAGGGTTTGAGACAGCTGTCTGGAGTTGCTTTACGTATTTTTTTGAAAGCTTTCTTTCAGGCAAATTTGTAACATCTTGATCCTTATTCAGACACTAAAAATGCAGCGGATCACGATGAGTCTCCACCTCGTACCCCCACCGGGAATGCCCCTTCCTCAGAGTCTGATATTGATATCTCCAGTCCAAATGTATCCCATGATGAGAGCATTGCCAAGGACATGTCCATGAAGGATTCTGGAAGTGACCTGTCTCACCGCCCTAAGCGCCGCCGCTTCCATGAAAGCTACAATTTCAACATGAAATGTCCCACTCCTGGTTGTAACTCTTTAGGTAATTTCAACTCCAGGATTAATCTTGGGTTTTGCCTTCCTGCTATGATATTCAAAGTCCCACTCAGTCAAGTTACACGTCCTTAAAAATATTCACTTAATTAGGATCAGGAGTATTACTGAGAAGTGGGTGTAGAGAAGGGATATGAAGCGTATCTGCAGGTATATTTTTCCCGGAGGTGTTTTCTGGCTAGGAGTGTTTGGGGGATGATTGGGGAAAGAACAAGGTAGGAGTTCAGGCACAGGTGTGGGAGGAAAACACAGAGTCTTGCAGGTAGGGTACTGATCTCTGCCAGAAGCAGGCTTTCAGAAACAAATTATTGCAGACTTCTAGGATACCTGGCTGCTTGCATGGAGTGCAGCTTTTGAGTTAGCATGAAGAAGATTTTCCTTCTTAAAGCTTGTGCCATGAACCGTGGAGTGTGCTCCTTCTGTCACACTGGTAATAAACAGAGCATGCTCCTTGAGAAGCTCAAGTGAGGGATCTGCCCATCTGGGATACTTTTTAAACTTCTTTGTGATCACATGGTGAAAGTTGGGGTTTTTTTCTGATCCTTTGCAGGACACCTAACTGGAAAACATGAACGACACTTCTCCATATCAGGATGCCCACTATATCATAACCTCTCAGCGGATGAGTGCAAGGTAAATGAGTCTTCTGTTTTAACCTCCTTCCATTTTTTTTTGAACAAAATGCCACGATCTGTCATTTGTGAACAGAAAATAGACTTAACATGTTACAGCTGATGTCTTCAGCTCTAAGACGGCAGCGTTTGTGTGTCAAATCCTCTGTCAATGATAGCGTAGAAAATTCACCTAAATGAGAAAAGGAAAAGATGAAGGTTTTGATAGTAGTTTGCTGCAGCATTGATGGATGAGTTTTGGCTTCCAGGTGCGAGCGCAGAGCCGGGATAAGCAGATTGAGGAGAGGATGCTGGCCCATCGGCAGGATGACAACAACCGGCACGCCACCAGGCACCAGGTGGGTGATCTGGACGTGGTGGAGGGGCTGCTCAGTTAAAAGCAGAAAAACCTCACCTTGTGGTTTCTGGCGACAATGATTTTAACTTGGATCTCCATTTCCCAAACTGCTGAGTCCTGACACTGCCCGTTTGTCCTCTCCAATTTGTTTCAGCAAGGGCAGTTCATTGTATCTCTTAAATGAGAGACTGGAGCAGCTAGTGAGAGCAGAGAGGTGGCACTGGCCGGTAATATAAACATCATCTCAGGATGATCTTTTCTGTGTGCTTTGATGTGTAGGATGAGAGAATTCCTGCACAACTGTAAACTACAATTTTACTCTGACTCAATAGAAAAGAATAAAACCAGAGGAATTACATTTTTCGGCTCACGAGTCTTGGACTTGAGTCAAGATGACTTTAATGAGTCAGCTCTGAGCTTTTCCC